GAAAGACGTCAGCTGCCAGGTGATGGAGCACGTGGAAGTGCTCTCTAACATCATCAACAAGCTGATGTGTGAGAACAGCTACTTAAGGGGAGTGATTGTCGAAAAAACGACAAACAGTGAGGTGTTGACCGAGGTTGCCGTCAAGAAGGCTCTTGAAAATGCAACCCCGATGAAGAAAAGTTACGCAAGTGCAGTAAGTAGCGCTAAACCCGCGAAAGCTAAACCTGTAGCGAACTTGAGTGGTGGTGTCAAGAAGGCACCACCACAACTCGCCAAGGTGGCTCTAATAAGAGCCCCTGAATGTCGAAAGGGCGAGACAAGTGAGCAAACGAAGAAGCGAGTTCTCGAGCTGGTGAACCCAGCCAAAGAGAAGCTTCAAGTTCGAGGGGTACGCATGATGCGTGAGGGAGGAATTGCCGTTGAGGTGGTCACTGATCAAGACCTCAACAAAATTCTATCGAACGCAATGCTGAAGTCTGACGGATATGACGTCAAAAAGGCAGGAGCCGCGAGGCCGAGAATCCTTTTGTACGACGTCCCGTCAGATTTGAACGAAGACGAAATTTCTGCTGCCATAATGGAGCAGAATGAATCAACGTCTGCCCTAAACGCAGCACAGTTTAAAGAGAGTTTTAAACTGAAGTTTAGGATGGGAAAAAGAGAAGAAGCTCTCACGAATTGGGTTGCAGAGGTAACCCCTGAAATGAGAGGTCTACTCCGTAGTACCAACAGATCTCGAGTCTACATCGGCTGGTCCGCCTGCCGAGTAGAAGACTTCACGGCCGCGACACGGTGCTTCAAGTGCCAGTGTTACGGCCATGTGCAGAAATTCTGCACGGAGAAAGAGCTTTGCTGTAACTTCTGTTCTAAACAGGGACACAAAGCAAACGAATGCCCTGATAAGGCTGCAAATAAATCGCCGACTTGCCCTGCGTGCAAGAAGGCGAAGAAAAAGTCTGATCACCGAGCTGGAAGCAAAAGCTGTCCAGCTCAAAAGGCTGCTGTACAACGGGTACTAAGCCGAACAGACTATGGCAACACAACCTAGTCCTATTTCGATACGTGGCTTGCGTTTGATGCAGATAAATGCTGGCCGTGGCAAGAACACTAGTTCTGCCATACGCCAGTTGTCGGATAAAAATGGGATTCAAATAGCTCTCGTTCAAGAACCTTACTCTGCAAAAGGCAGAGTTTATGGTTTTGGTCTTGCGGCTAAAACTATAATTGGTTCGAAGAGTGATGAGCAACCATGGTCTGCAATAGTTGTATTTGACAAGAATCTGACTGTCATGAGGCTTAGCCAAGTGAGTACCAGTCATATTGTCTGCATACAAGTGGACAATGGGTTCTTTGACGTATACGTTGTATCCGCATATCTCCAATACTCTCATGGAGTGGAAAAGTATTTAGAGGAATTGAAAGTGATCCTTAACCTGTTAAAAGGGAAAAGGATCATCCTTTGCCTTGATTCGAACGCAAAGTCTCCGACTTGGTTCTCTGATAAGCTTGATGAAAAAGGCGAGAAAGTAGAAGAGTTCATTCACGAAATGAACCTCTACGTATTGAACGAAATTGACCAGCCGAAAACTTTCTCATCTACAGCTGGCGAGAGCAATATTGACTAATCAATTTGCACGAGCCAAGTTGTTAGACACGTTAAAGAGTGGAGAGTAATTGAAAATTGGTGTGAAAGCGATCATCGACCTATATTTATAGATCTCGAATCTGTAAAGAGGAATGATGATCTTGAACGAGAACACCTAGGAGGCAAACGGTTTAATACCAATAAAGCTGACTGGGAAAAGTTCACTAAAACACTTCTTGACAACCGTCAAGAGCTCGACACGAAGTGTGAGAATAGAATGGACGTCATAAATCTTGCAAAGCAAATCAGAAGGATAATCACCCTCGCGGGAAGGAAATCCATGCCAATGCGTAGACACAAAGGCCCTGGTGTCAGGTGGTGGACACAGGAGCTAACAGATCTTAAGACTGCTGCGAACAAGGCTAGAAGGAAATTCCAGAGAACTAAAGAGCCTGAGAGTAGAGATAGACTTAAGGTTGAGTACAGGAATACACGGAAAAAGTTGAAATGTAGAATGAAGGAGACCTCGAAAGAGAGTTTTAAAAACTTCATCTCCGAAACGTCGAAGGACCCATGGGGGTTTGCCTACAAACTTTCTTGTGGGAAACTCAGAACACAAAGTGCGATGAATACAATCAGAACAGTATCCGGGGAAACCCAGGACTGGAAAGAAACAGCTGAAGTTCTTCTTGATAATCTCTTCTGTTATGATACGGAAGAAGGAGAGAATGAACTTCAAAGTCTTAAGAGGAGCAGAATGCGTGAACCGAGTGAACTCTCGGGGATGCAGGACGCACCTTTTACAGGCAATGAAGTGTATAGAGCAATAAAGAAACTGAAAAACGGAAAAGCTCCCGGTTGGGACGCCATTGAAGTTGTGATGTTGAAGAACTCATGGTCCGTGTTGAACGAACAGTTAATTGCTTTGTACAACGGCTGTCTAAAACATGGAATATTCCCTAATGAGTGGAAGAGTGCAAACGTTGTAACTCTCCTCAAATCGAACGACAAAGATCCGATGGATGCTGCATCCTACCGACCAGTATGTCTTCTTCCTATAATGGGAAAAATACTGGAAAGCCTTACGTTAGAAAGACTAAAAAAGGTTGTGGAACCTAAGCTATCCGAAATGCAGTTTGGTTTTAGGCCAAACCGATGCACGGAGGATGCTATTCGAACGTTTTTGCGCCTTAACAGCGAAGTGGTTGAAAAGCACGCCGGCGCTATCTTCATTGATATTGTCGGTGCGTTTAACAACCTGTGGTGGCCTGATGTTATTCATGAATTAAAGGAAAAAGACTGTCCTCCGGGAGTTCTTGGAATCATTCAAGATTTCTTAAATGGTAGGAGAGTCAAATTCCAGACCAGAAATGGTCACGTAGAACGTGTAGTGAATAAAGGTGCACCACAAGGTTCAGTGCTGGCAGGAATGCTGTGGGACACTGTGTTTGATGGTTTGATAATAGAGGTCAGAGAAGCGGGCTTTGAAATCGTCGTTTATGCAGACGACGGCGCCGTCCTGATCCGCGGAAACACGAGACGAGAAATTGAACGAAAAGGAGAACAAGTGCTCAGTATCATTGAGAAATGGTGCAACGAGCATAAAATGAAACTGTCACTGTCGAAGACTGTCATAATGTTGACGAAAGGAAACTTAGACAGGAATCGACCTCCGAGAATTCTCATGTCTGAGAAACCAGTCAAAGCAGTGAAAAACTTCAAGTATCTTGGAGTTACACTAGCTACTGGCGAGAAGCGTATCAAAATCGATGAACACATAAATTCTACGGTGTTGAAATGTAGAGCTCTATTCTCTCAGCTACGGAGATTAGCGCGGAGAGACTGGGGTATAAAGTTTTCAGCGATGAGAATAATATACAAAGGTCTTTTCGTTGCGATAATCACCTATGGGGCTGCAGCATGGATGGAAATGCTCAACGCTAAGCACTGGAGGCAATTGAAAGCTCTCCAAAGATTTATTCTAATCGGTGTCACTGGTGCATATAGAACGTCGCCAACCGAAGTGTTACCAGTGATGGCAGGTGTACTGCCGATAGAACTCGAGATTCAAAAGAAGCATTATTCATACATGATTAGAAAGGGTATGAGCTTCAAATTGAACGAGTTTGAATTTGATCCCGAAATTTTCGTGGATAATTCAGACCGATGGATTCAGCGATTAAAAGCTGCATCCATCAGATCAGTCGTACGAGAACTCGAATTAAACTGGCAGAGGGAGTGGAGGCAATCCCCTAGGGTAGCCAGAAAACTCCTTCCAGATGTCAGCGAGAGACTCAAGTACACTTGGGTTCAACCGAATCATTGTACGAGCCAGTTCCTCACGGGACATGGCAAATTTGCTCAGAAACTAACTCAGTTAGGTTTGAAAGCGGACCCGAGTTGCGAATGCAATGAGCCGGCCGAGACAAGTGAGCACGTATTGATGGAGTGTCCTAAGTGGAACGAACTTAGAACGAACCTCAGACAGATGCATGAGCAACAAGGTCTTAAATGGCCAGTTGAAATGAAGCTCCTAATGTATAAAGAGGCGTACGCACTGTTTGAATGTCTGGCAAAGGATATAATCCGAGCCAAGGAGATTGAGGAGTTGCTTGTCAACTAGTTTGCGGGCAACTCCTCAGTTTGCCGTGTAGACATCGGCAGAAGAATAATCCTAACGTTGCCCTCTGCACATGTCGTAGAAGGCGACTAACAAGGAGGAAGGGGCGGTCAGGCTCGAGGATTAGATAGAATCCTCAGACTGATACTCGCACCTGAGTCTAATGGTACCACGGGGATCGGGTGCCCACTTGGACTTGTTTTTTGCTCCGGTAAATTACTCGTCCTTGGCCGGTCATCTGGTGTTGGACTCGTGGGGGCCGTGGTTAATAGCTCACATCGCTTAGAGCAAGATGATGGAGAAGAAGTTGAATCAACGTGATCAGATTTCTTCAAAATTGTCGACGTGTGAGTTGCGGTATACAACTCGGGCAAGAACCTGCATAGTTCCTAGGGATTAGAAAGGTCCCGCCCTTTGTCGGGGGTCCGTGATGTCCTATCTAGACGATCGGAAACGGCCGCTTTATTTTACAAAGTGAGAGTCAGTGCTTTAGAACGATGACTATGTTGAACGAATGTTTGAACGACGATACACAGTGAGAGTCACGAAACATCTTGCGAATTTCTGAAGAGAGAGAAAAGTTGAACGAGGACTAACGTCTATAGGAGTCAAACCGTTGGTAAGTCGAAAGACCAGGTACAACGGAACCACCCCAAAATTCTTTTTCGGACGAATTTTTACGGATTATCGTATTTCCCGCTGTCCCTATCTACTTTCTAGCGAAACCACTGCCAAGGGAACGGGCTTGGAAAAATTAGCGGGGAAAGAAGACCCTGTTGAGCTTGACTCTAGTCTGGCACTGTAAGGAGACATGAGAGGTGTAGCATAAGTGGGAGATGGCAACATCGCCGGTGAAATACCACTACTTTCATCGTTTCTTTACTTACTCGGTTAGGCGGAAGGCGTGCGCCTTTGGATTTTCATCCAGGCTGTCACGGTATTCTAGAACCAAGCGTGTAAGAGTGGTGTGAGGCTGCGGCCGATCGCCAAACATACTCCCGCGTGATCCGATTCGAGGACACTGCCAGGCGGGGAGTTTGACTGGGGCGGTACATCTGTCAAAGAATAACGCAGGTGTCCTAAGGCCAGCTCAGCGAGGACAGAAACCTCGCGTAGAGCAAAAGGGCAAAAGCTGGCTTGATCTCGATGTTCAGTATGCATAGAGACTGCGAAAGCACGGCCTATCGATCCTTTTGGCTTGAAGAGTTTTCAGCAAGAGGTGTCAGAAAAGTTACCACAGGGATAACTGGCTTGTGGCAGCCAAGCGTTCATAGCGACGTTGCTTTTTGATCCTTCGATGTCGGCTCTTCCTATCATTGCGAAGCAGAATTCGCCAAGCGTCGGATTGTTCACCCGCCAACAGGGAACGTGAGCGAAGGGAGACAATGCTAACCGTCTCCTCCCGGAAGGGCATCCGGTCTTCTTAATGCCGCTTTGGTCCTGAGGCCTTATAGCGGCAATTTTTCCATACTCGCTCCCCTCCGGAGCAACGGTAGTGAGGAGGCGTGCCAAATCACTGCCGTTTCTCTATGTCGCGCAGTGATTTCGCTGAAAAGTAGATATGCTTTAACATCGGGATTATAGCCCTTCATGGGCCCAGGTATCCCAGTCGGCCTGGCCGACTCAGCACAATTCTGTCCCTATCTACTAGTTGCTTCCGAGCATTCGAGCAGTACGGACGTGTCCTGCTGCTCTCTCTGCTTATTTTAAGCGCGCCTAATTGGTCGAGGCTAGCTCCGCCCAATTCTCTCTCTCTCAGTTTTTCTTTTGGAAGTGGGAGGAAAGAAGACTAAGTGCCTGGCACCCCGCGTCTTCTCCCCCCCTCGCTTCCGCGAGACTCTCTCCCCCCTCCCGGATGGAGGGTGGAAACAGGACAGGTGTGCCGAAGGGGGAGCTGGTTCACCCCCCTCCCCCCGCGACACGCAAGTCAAGTGACAGTGAAAAGGTGGGTGGTGAACACCCACCTTCGCGAGTTCAACCAAGTGCAAGTGGAAGTGCGGATGTGGGTGCTCACCTCCCACCCCTAGAAGTGAAATCTCGCGCCCAGGCAACAGGTGATGCCCTCCCCAAACCTTCTCCACGATCGCGACCAGACACTCCCGACTGGAACGCCCGCCCAAGTGACGACGCGATGCAGGAAGGGGTTAGCAGCGCAGGTGAGGAGGCTTCAAGGAGCAGCATCGGGGTCACCGCGGCTGTCCAGTCCGCGGCCTCTCTCGTCACTGACCCCGCGAAAGGTAAGCGCAAGCGCCGTCTCCGCTCGGCGCGTGGGTACGGTGGGAACTCCAGCGCAGCTGAGAAGAACCCCCTTACCCATACGACGGACGAAGAAGGTGCTTGCGGCAGCGCGGCAGCGAAACTCGCGCGGACTTCTCACCGCGATATACCGATGGCTTCCGTCCCCACCATCACTGAGACGCCGAACTCACTCCGAGCTCGTGCTCAATTTATAAAGAGGGCAATGGCAGAGTACTGTCTTCGCGGGCCAAGTGGCATCACGCGAGAACAGACTGCTGTCATTGTCGGCGCGATGGAGGACCTTGGTGACGTTGTTGGCGACCTGCTGCTGTGCGTCGCCAGTCTCGAGGGACGCGTCGCCGAGCTGGAAAAGGCTCGCCCCGCTTCGCAATTGCGGGCTGCTGGCCCAGGTGTTGCAAATGTGCAAGCGGTGCGAACCTACGCCATGGCCACCAAAACAATGACCACCGAGAGAGCTGGCCCGATTCCGCGACCCCGACAGCCAACACTGGCACAGGGAAGTGCCCGAACCAGTGGGTTGTCCAGTGTCCCGAAATCGGCGAGCTCTCCCGGTGCGAGTTTAGGTACCACGGTCGTCGAGGCTACGGCGATGCCTCCCCCGCAGGACGACTTTACGGTCGTTAAACGACGTAAAGGGTTGGCGCGCAGCAGCGGATCGCCAAAGAACAGTGGCGGGAATGCAGTTAAGAGGCCTCTCCCGCCCGCTGTCCTAATTAAGCCGGGTCCCTCATTCGCAAACCCCACGAGTGAGGAAGTGAGGAAGGCCCTCACAACATCGTTTAACCCTAACAAGGAGGGCGTTCAGGTGTGCGGACTGCGAAGAATGGGAGCCTCCGGCTACATAGTGGAAACCACAAATGCAGTCGAGGCTGAGAAGGTTCTCCGCAGCCCTGCATTCCTGAGCGCCGGACTGACGGCGTCTCTCCTCGAGAAGCGGAATCCCGAGGTGATGGTGCGTGGCGTCGACTCCAGCATGGAGGAGGGGGAGTTGGCCGAGGCCATCTATGCCCTAAACCGGGATCTTCTCCAGACCCCATCCTTGGACGAATTTAAGAGGAGCTTCACTCCTCGTTACAAGGTGGGGCCCAGAGATGGTACAACGGTGGGCTGGGTGGCCTCTGTGTCTCCCTCCCTCCATAGTGTACTCTGCAAAGCTGGCAGAGTATACGTTGGCTGGAGTCGGTGCCCCGTGCACAACCATGCGCGAGTGATGCGGTGCTATCGCTGCCTTGGCTTTGGGCACACCCAGAAGCACTGTGGTGACACGGAGGACACGTGTGGTCACTGCGCCAACAAGGGACATCGAGCTGCGCTCTGTCCCAACAAGAAAAGCGGGGCCCCCCCCCCGTTTGCGCGAATTGCAAACGGGATGGCCGACAGAGTCAGCACGACCCTATGGGCAGTGGCTGCCCACGTGCAAAAATAGCGCGCGATAGGCTGGTCAGCAGCATCAAGACATTGACTGACAATGGACAATGAGACCGACCGACAAACTGACTACGGACGTACCCCAACAGTACCCCACCCGAGACATCAGCCTTCTCCGCTCCGGATACTGCAGCTCAACATGGGCAATGGTGCATTAGTATCACCCCAGTTGAGTGGCATTATCCGTAGTGAAGGCATCGACCTGGCGCTGGTACAGGAACCATACTCCACCAGGGATGGAGACCTTGCGGGGCTTGGATGCATTGTAAGACGAACGACAATTCACGGTTGCGATTCGCCGAGGAGTGCCGTCCTGGCGTATAATCCCAGGACGACATTCACTCAACTCGGTCACCTGAGTAATCAGCACGTGACCTGCGTCGAGGTTCACAGCCCCGCTGTGAACTTCTACGCGGTCAGTGCTTATTTCCAGTACTCGGATCCCACCATGAAGCATCTGGAATACCTCGCGAACATCATGCGAGGTTTGAGAGGTAGGAACGTGCTAATCTGTGCTGACGTCAATGCTAAGTCGACCCTCTGGGGATCCCCTGCCACTTGTGACAGGGGTGAACTAGTGGAGGACTTCATTGCCGTCCACGGATTGCACGTTCTCAACCAAGGCAGTGAGCCTACCTTCCGGAGCTCAGGGGGGGCTTCGAGTATTGATGTAACTCTGGTGACCGACGGATTGCTGCCGTGGATATTGGACTGGCACATACGTACGGACGAAACAACAAGCGACCACGCCCTCATCGAAATTAAAATCGGTGCACGGCGTGTCGCTCGGACTGAAACAGGACAGGTGGGTCAACGTCCTGCGAGGTACAATGTTGAGAAAGTGAAGACTGACGTGTTCCAGCGAACCCTAACGGAGGAGCTGCAACGCGTCTCGGATTCTCAGCTTTGTACCCCGGAGGACGTAAACGACTACACCGTGGAGTTAACAAAAGCTCTCCACAACAGTTGCAGGGCATCCATGCCCCTAAAGCGCTGGCGCAACAGGTCGCATCCCTGGTGGACAGAGGAACTCACGCTTCTCATGCGTGAAGTTCTTCGACACAGGCGAATGTACCAGCGGGAGGTCGATCCTGAGCGAAGAGCGGAGAAGCGAGATGTGTTCATCCAAAAGAAGGATGAACTTCGGAAACAGGCCAGACGCGCGAACCGGCAATCGTGGAGTGAATTCGTCACGGATGTCGGTAACCGCGAGCCTTGGGGTATTGTTTACAAGACAATAACGAACAGACTGCGCACAGAAACTATTTTCAACACGGTTAGGGATGAAAACGGAGAGGCCGTCTCTTCCATGTCCGAGGGTGCGGAGCTTTTCTTAAAAGCTTTCGTTCTCCTCGACGGAGAGGCAGCAGCCGTTGACGCCGGGGAGTTCCCCCACAACGAGCCAGCGGAAGACGAGGCGCCGTTCACTGGAACGGAGGCTTGGAACATAATCCGCCGCCTCCCGGCCAATAAAGCACCTGGTCTCGACAATATCGAGGTCCAGGTGGTGAAGTTGGCCTGGCCGTGGCTGGAGGCTCCATACCTCCGACTAGTGAACGCGTGCCTTGTGCTGGGCTGCTTTCCGAAGGACTGGAAGAGGGGGAATCTCCGTTTCATCCCTAAAGGACGAGACAAGGACTTGACCGAAGTGCGTTCGTACAGACCGGTATGTCTTCTCCCTGTGCTGGGCAAAATCTTTGAACGCCTTCTGTTGGGAAGACTGAGGAAGACCGCCCTCGGGCCGAACATGCTGTCTACACAGCAGTTCGGCTTTGTAAAGGGACGGTCGTGCGAGGATACCATCGTCGAAGTCCGGAGAATAGTGTCAGAGAAGGAGGAAAGGTACGTCCTTGCCCTCCTCTTTGACATCACCGGTGCCTTCGACAACATAAGGTGGCCATTGGTGATAAATGGACTCACCAGGAGACGCTGTCCGAACAACCTCCTGGCGGTCATGGGAAGCTTCTTCCAGGAAAGAGTCATGACCCTATCCTGGAATGGAGGCACTGTTTCGCGCGCATCCACCAAGGGATGCCCACAAGGCTCGGTGCTTGGTCCATGCGCGTGGAACATTGCCTTCGATGGACTTCTCGAGACTCTTGAGGAATTGCTCGGCAAGTCATTTGCAGTTTATGCAGATGACTTGTCGGTAATTGTCACTGGAGACTCGAGAAGAGAACTTCAGGATAGAGCCCAGGAGGTTGTTGACACAGTATCTCAATGGTGCGACGCCAATGGCCTCCAGTTGTCGAAGTCAAAAACGGAGATGGTATACCTTAAATTCAGTCCACCCCGTAACAGAAGGAATGCCAATAAGTACAGGGAGAGGAGATACCCCTCTGACGAAAGCAGGCGGGGCCCAGTCGTCAAACTGGACGGGAAGTCGATCGCACTTAAAAAGAGCGTTCGGCTTCTTGGCGTCCATATTGACGACGGGTTCAAGGTCACGACTCACTGTGTAAAGACGGCAGACAAACTGAAAGGACTCATGGCAGCCATCCGACGAGCGGCTCCCAGCAAGTGGGGACTACACTTCCGGACGCTAAAAATGCTGTACCGGGGTGTATTCCCCTCCATTGCGGGTTACGCCGCTGGCGGATGGGCTGACCTTGCTACGAACAAGGACCTACAAAAACTACGGACGGCACAGAGACAGGCTTTGTTGATGTTGACCAGGGCCTATGCCAC